AGTAATTTATGATGAAAGTACTCCTTTTCTCCCATCAGATAGAAAACAAAGATTTTGGCCATTTTCCTACATTGCAACACATAATGGTTTCTGATCAAAACCTAAAAAAATACACATCACTACTAGTGCAGTTGCATGCTAAATTTTCTTGCCGATTTGAAGATTTTCAAATTATAGAAAAAGACCTCTTTGGTCTCCTCACCTTTCACATTTACTGTTGACAGCGCTCCATGTGACCTGCAACTTGAGCTTATTGACCTCTAGTGTGATGCATGGCTTGCAGAGCAACTAAAATCAGTTCCACTTCTTAGCTTTTATGCCTCTCTCAATGAACAGAAGTTTTCAAAGATCAAGGCTCATGCCCAAAAGACACTTCTGCTGTTTGGATATGTATGTGAACAGACATTTTCTGTAATGAAAATCAACAAATCAAACTTTAGATCTTCAATTAGCGTTGACCACCTTGTAGCAGTGCTCCGCATTGCAACAACAGAGATGATGCCTGATCTTGATTTTCTGGTTAATGCACATCAGAGGCTTTATTCTTCACATTGAGTTCCTTTGTTTATCTTTAAATTAATCATTTAAGTTATTTATATTATGGTTGTATGTTTGTCATGTTGTTTTCGGAAGCGTTAAGTTAATCACTACTCAAATTATTTTTTAAATAAAATTAAAATCTGTTATAGTAGATGTTTGATTTTTAGTATACAATACTTTATCTATACTTTTTAAAAATGATTTGTTCTGAAAGATTTTGTGTGCAGTCCTTGACTCAATTGGTTTGGCTCTGTTGTGGGGGGAGGTCTGATGCCCCTGAAACCCTACTGCTGGGGCAGGATGTTAGAGGGGTCACAACCCCTTGCTACCTGGTAAGTTGTGCCTGTGTGTCGTGGCCCATAGGGCAGAACTTTTGGGGCCCCGGGAGCAGGCCACGCACAGTGAGGGTGGGCCCTGGTGTTGGGCAGTGTTTCCCAGTCAATAGGTACGCCTTCTAATGTCAGGGATCATGTGATGAGGGCAGGAGATTCTGAGACAGATATAGCGAGTCAGGCAGTTTGGTGTTGGGTGGGTGGCTCTTATGACATAGACCATATGACAGGGTGTAACTTTTGGTTCCAAGGTCACCTCCCCAAAAGGAGTACTTCCAGGGGCAAGGGGAGGGACTTCCGGTGGCAAAGGTCAGGGGTTAGGGATGGGACTTCTGGTCCCAAGATGGAAACCAGGGGGCGGGGCAGCTGTCAAAGGCGGAGCTACCAATGCAGCCCTCGACAGCTCACCAAAACTCATCAAGCGGCCCTCGGCCTGAAATAATTGCCCACCCCTGGCTTAGTCCATCTGTGTCTCTGTCTGTAACACCCTTGGAGCACTCTGATTGGTTACTGAAACAACCAATCAGAGTCCTCGAAGAGTGTTACGGACAGGAGGCGGTGGTGATGGTGCGGTGTAGCACAGCCATGACAGAGGGGATAGAGCGGTGGGGTGAGGCCAGCACCACTGGCCTCATCCCCCTTCACCCCCGGCCCTTCTCCCTGGAGGCGGTGGAGCACCACTGTGACAGCAGGGACGAAGTGGTGGGGAGGTGGCGTGGGCAAGCTT